GCCTTACTGAAGACTTAGCACCTGAAACCATAAAATGTGTGTGCACATATGCATATATACATATGATTACTGGGTTAATTTTGGAGACACAGCAAAGCAGGGTTCAGACCTTGCTCTTTTAAGTATGCAAAACATCTCTAAAAATGCAGGAGATAAAAAAGGACACAAAAAAGTACATAGGAAACAACTACAGTGTCAAGTAAGTGCCAAAATTCCTAAGAATTCACAGAACAGAGTGGTTTTGTGGGCTGCTATGGTTGAAGCTGTTTGGGGGCATATTGTTTAGCTTTGTGGATAAAGTGGAAGGGGCATCCTTCCAGACATCTCTAAAGGAGGGATCTTGAATTAAGAGGCACCCTATAGAGGGAAGGAATTAAGGAATTGTGTCTGTGACTGAGACAGAGAAGACCTCCTGGAAAAGAGGTCTCTGGGACCTGGGTAGACAAGATGACAATTGCATATCTCTTGTGATACACTGAAAATCAGGAAGCATTATTCTGAAGATATGAAGATACTGGGCAACACTGTATTTGAAATAGTACAACTTGGGAGTGACAATGCAACTTAAAAGTATATTTGAGAGTGTTGGTATTGAGATGGTAAAGGTTGGGAATATTGATGAGATAATCTTTTTCTGAAGAGTTGAATAAAGAAAGGAGGCACACAATTTGCAGAAAGCACCACTAAGTTGTAAACAGCTGCTAAGTGATGTTAGCTGAAGGAGAGAAAAAAGGAAATCAATTAGTAGGCAGTAAAAGAAATGTGAATTCTTACTGAGGAAGAATGGTTCTGAGAGCTCTGGAAAGGGACTATAAACAATAGCCAGTAGTAGAAAAGGCTTTCTTCTAACTGAGTGACATGAGGCATGTTTTGTCCTGGCTAAGGTTTTCTGTCCTTGTCACCTCAACAGCACACCTCAAAGCCATGGTTGGGTTCTTCAAACAGATTGCATTTCAGATAAGACTTAAATTCCTCTTCCTTTCCTTGCATATGCTCTCACATTTTTGTCGTTGCTTGCATTTCATTATTACTTTCACTTGGCAAGTACTTTTAAAGCTCACTGAGAAGCTGGAATGCCCCATGGAGTGGCTTGCTCAGGTGTTGAGAGGATGGTACTATTAGACAGTCTCTAGCTGCTGTGACTTCAGCTCAGCCATGGTGTTCACATCAGGGCCATGCTCACTCAGGACATCCGCTGCAAGTAAGAGGCAAATTGTGCATCTTATGGCCTCCAATGCAAAAACGGAACCAGGGCACCTGGCAGTTTGCAGGTCTCTTGGATTCTGGAAGCAACACATGCCACACCTAGAAACTGCTCCAGCATTTGTGCTGAGTGACATGGAAGGTAGGCTACCATCCCTGAGAGGGTTCAGAGCAGGAAGGAGCTCCATAGGAGGCCCAGGCTGTGTCCTAAGCAGCCATGTCTCTTGGGCCCTATGATCAGGCAGAGTCTTTCATGTTGGTGTTTGGTATCAGGGGTAAGAAAGACCTACTATGAGGAATATGGCAAACCCTAGTGGAATATTCTCACTGAAGGTCTATGGGGATCTGAAGCAAGGCCATGTCATCTGCTAAAGAGAATTCTATAGCTTTGAGAAGCAGTTTCTGGTAAGTTAACTTGACTGTGGTAGTAAAGAAATGTTTGGCCATAGGACTCCAACTGACCATTCATCTAGAATTTCCCATTATGACCTGGATCTTATTAAATCTGCCAAGGCAAAGACAAACAGACCAAGAAGCAGTCTATCATGAGATAGACACGGTAGGTCCAGGACCAGAGGGCATGAGTAAGCTGCAAAAACAGGTTGCCCAGACCCCATGTCTCCTAGGGCTGCACTAATACCCTTTCTTCAACTCTCATCATGGGAAGATTAGGGTTCCATAGCAACAGCTGAAGGAGGGATAAAAGCCTGCCTTAGGTTTACATTGGGTTGGCCAAAAAGTTTTATTTCCTGTAGGATAGCTATAATAGTGAAGTGTTACCTTTAATGTCATTTGAAATAATTTGGTTAGGTTGTGGATTCTGGCCGAGATGGAGGTGAAGGTAGAAACACTTCACTTCCTTGTACAACTGGAATAAGGATAACAACCAATTTAAAAACAAAGAAAAACCAGAATTGCCAGAAAATCAACCTGCATGGAAGTCCAAAAACCAAGGAGTTAAAGAAGAAATATTCATCCACACTACTAGGAGGGGTGGAGACGAGAAGCCAGGGCAGAGAGGACACATGGCAAGGTGGTGGACTAAACAGGCGAGGCAGTGGTTGGAAGACAGGACTTCCCACATCCACCTACGGATAAGCTAGGAGGAACAACTGGGAAGTGAGACAGTCCACCCAACCCAAAGTTCCAGTGTGGGGAAATAAAGTCTCAGGACCTCTGGCTATAAAAACCTGTGGGGATTGCAGCTACAGGAGAAACTTTGAGTCTCACAGGATCCTAGAACTTACACAAGCCCACTCACCTGGGAATCAGCTCCAGAAGGGCCCAATTTGCTTGTGGGAAGTGAGGGAAGTGACAGTGGGGTGACAATTGGGCAAGAGAGCAAGTGGCATTATTCTCTCTCAGACTCATCCCCACATAGCAGTGCCACAACACAGTGAAGTGGGTTGCCCAGCCCTGGTAAATACCTAAGGCTTCACCCCTTGCAATGTAGCAGGTGTGCCAAGACAAAGAAATATTTTCCAAAAGAAAGAACAGATCAAAAGTGTAGAAAAAGAACTAAGTGATGAGGAAATGGACAACCTATCAGATGCAGAGTTCTAAACACTGGTAATTAGGATGCTCACAGAAATGATTGAATATGGTCACAAAATGAAGGAATAAATGAAAGCTATACAAAGTGAAATAAAGCAAAATGTACAGGGAACCAACAGTGGGAGGAAGGAAAATAGGACTCAAATCAACAATTTGGAATAAAAGGAAGAAATAAGCATCCAACCAGAGCAGAGTGAAGAAACAAGAATTCCAAAAATGAGGAGAGGCTGAGGAACCTCTAGGACAACTTTAAACATTCCAACATCTGAATCACATGGGTGCCAGAAGGAGAAGAGGAAGAGCAAGTAATTGAAAACTCATTTGAACAAATAATGAAGGAAAACTTATCCAGTTTGGAAAAGGAAATAGATATGCAAGTCCAGGATGCTCAAAGGGTCCAAAGAAGTAGGATCCAAGAAGAAACACATAGAGACACATCATAATTAAGTTACCAAAGATTAAAGATAAGGAAAGAATTTTAAAAGCAGCAAGTGGAAAGGAGAGAGTTATCTACAACAGAGTTCCCATAAGACTATCAGCTGATTGATTTCTCTAAAGAAATCAGGCAAGAAAGGGCTGGAAAAAAGTATTCAAAGTCATAAAAGGCAAGAATCTACATCCAAGATTACTCTATCCAGTAAAGCTATCATTTAGGATAGAAAGGCAGATAAAGTGCTTCCTAGATAAGGTCAAGTTAAAGGAGTTCATCATCACCAAGCCCTTATGAAATGTTAAAGGGACTTATCTCAGAAAAAGATAAACTATGAACAGTAAAATGACAACAAACTCACAACTACCAATGACTGAACCTAAAAAACAAAAACTAAGCAAACAGCTAGAACTGGAACAGAATCACAGCAATGGAGATCACATGGAGGGTTATCAGTGGGGAGGGGAAGGGGGAGAATTTGGGGAAAAGGTACAAGGAATAAGAATCATAATTGGTAGGCACAAATTAGACAGGGAGGTTAAGAATAGTATAGGAAATGGAGAAGTCAAAGAACCTACAGACACAACACATGGACATGAACTAAGTGAGGAGGGGAGATGATGGAGGGTGGGAGGTGCAGAAAAGGTAGAAAGGAGATAAAATTAGGAAACTGTAATATTATAATCAATAAAATATACTTAAATTTTTGTTAGATTGTATTGTGACAGCTGTCATATCAGTTTGCATTAAAAAACTTACCAAAATTGGTGAATTTTTTGTGTAACCATTTCAATATTGAAGATGGAAGAAAATATGCAACATTTTCAGCATGTTATTTTTTATTATTTCAAGAAAGATAAAAACTCAACTGAAACATAGACAAAAAAAGATTTGTGCAGTGTATGGATAAGGTGCCACGACTGATCGGATGTGTCAAAAGTGGTTTGCAAAGTTTTGTGCTGGAGATTTCTCGCTGGACATGATGCACAATCCAGTAAACCAACTGAAGTTGATAGTGATGAAATCAAGACATTAATTGAGAACAATCAATATTATACCATGTAGGAGATAGCTGACATCAGAATGTCTAAATCAGTAATGCTATTGGTGAAAATGAAATGTGTCTTTTATTTTACAGGAAAAAATTAAATAGACTCTTTAGATTACCTAATTGATGGACAGGTTTGGGATATGGCTGAAACGGAAAATGAATGGAGGCTGCATTGCAGTCACCTGGGTGGGAAGGTGGTAATCCTTCTAGGGGGCAGAGCTGTGAGTGGTGTACTTGGTCATTTATTTTGTGTGAAAGGAAAAGTGGCCTGAGGTGGGAATATATATAGATTTCTGGGCAATGGCCAACAGCTTAGCTGTCTGGTCAGAAGCCTAGAAGGGACAGGACTGGAAGACTAGAGACATGGAGGTCTAGGATGGAAACATGTGGATGAATGTATGAGGATAGGCAATGCATGTGAGTAGTTTTGTGTAGCATGTCATTGGGCTTCCATGAAAGAGAAAAATCCAAGTAGGTGACTTAGCCAGGTGATGGAAGCCATCCTTCCTCATCACCCGGTCCAGCCCAGGAAAAAGAGCCACATGAACTAGTGGCCTTAGTGGCTGAGATAGAAGTTATACATGGCCCAACAGAAAGGACTTCCATTTATCAAGGTCAATTTAGCTACTGCTGTCTCTGTCCAGCTTGCCAGCAACAGAAACTATTCCTTGAGAATACTAATCAAGAAGTAAGAGCACTCTACTTAGCATCACATCCAAATGACCTACTCAGTGTCTTTATTTTCTATCCCTGCAACTCCAGGTTCTGCAGGGTTTCCAGTGGATCTCACTCTTGCAAGTAGACAAGGTGAGAGTGCTATTGAACCTCAAATTTTGGTTGCTGCCTGGCAGTTCCACTGACTCTTCTGCCCAAGGATCAGCAGATGAGAAGAGGAATTACCATACTGGCAGGAATAATTGACTTTGGGGAGCAGGAAGAGGCTTTTGTACAACAGGGACAGAGAAAAAACATGTGCAGAGCCCAGGTGATCCATTGGTTGCTTACTAGTTCTCCATGGACCCCTTGTAGCTATGAATGCATGCATCAGCAGCCCACTCTGAGAAGGGCTCAGACCCTCCAGGAATGAAGGTTTGGGTCACACCACCAGGAAAACTACCAGACCCTGCTGCTATGATAGCTTGGGGTGAGGTGAATTAAGAATGTAGAGAAGAAGAGGCAGAAGGTAAGCATTTGCAGCCCCATGACCAACTGCAGGGACAGAGTTCCTAGTTGTCTTATCAACCTTACTTTTTTAAGCTTTTCTTCAAGAAAAGAGGGCCATGGGAGCTGCTCCCCAAATGTGTGGAGAAGGCACTCTTTGGAATGGAAGGGGAGATGTGTTGGCTGTGGCTATGGACTGCTCAGATCTCCCTTCAAGAGAACTTTCTGCAAGCAGGGAGATGGGTGAACTTTCTTGAGTGGCTGTACCTTCAGTTCCCAGCAGGGTTGGTGTTCAGGCCGTACTCTACTGGAACTATCCCCAGCCAACAGCTGCATGGTGACCTAAAGACTCTCCCCAACTACTCCTGCTTCTTCTGGCTTTTATCCTTCACATGTGTTCCCCCTGTAATTCTTTTGTACGTCTAATTCTGTCCTGGCATTTGTTTTTTTGAGACCCTGAACAGATACATCCAGATCTTTTTAAAATGCACACACATCCACACACTCAAACACATGCACAGGTGAGCCTTGGACAAAGAGAGATGAAAATCTGATTCAAGCTTAATAAAATTGAACTGAAATTTAGATTTCATGATTCTCAAAAAGGAACAAAAACTCTCTATGTACTGATAAAAAAAATTCCCAAGATCTGTTAGAAAATAACAAGGTACAGACCAGTATATGTGACATGCTGTATTTGTATGTATGTAAAAATGTGAAAAGATACAAAGAAAAACATGTGGGGCAGGTTGGCAATGCTCATTTTGATTTAATTTTAAACTTTGAAACTGTATTACTTATTAATAATTAAATTGAAACATCAGTCTTCAGCATCTTAGCATGTTATTTTATTTTTCTATTTACACAGCACCTAGTTCATTGTTATTGTTTGGTACAAACATCCCTGGACAGCTTGTACTATTTACATACTAAATTCACAGTACCAGTCAAAACACTGTGGAAGAATTATGCAGATAGACACAAAATGGAAATTCACTGGTTTAGACACTGAATTGAACTGAATGGAGAGATGGATGGATTTTTCTGGGGTTAATAATTAGTACATAATGTTAATAATTATTGTGAATATTCAGGGCTTTCTGGGGCTTTTAGGGTATCTAAAGTATTTCTCTTTGTGCTTCCTAATATTTGAGTTCACAGATCATTAGTGGATAAATATTTTTTAAATTTTATTTTTTTTTCTTACAGTTGATATTCAATATTATATTAGTTTCATGTGTATAGTGTGGTGGTTAGATGTTATTATTTTAAAAATCAATACTTTATATGTGATTGAATAGAACTGCCAGTTGGCATATTATTCAGCAACATGGGCACAGCAGTGTATGGACCTCATGAATTTTAGGACTGTTGAAAACTGTCCCGATTGGAAAAGGACTGTCTGGGTAATCCAGATGGCATGAGTGACTTCGGACTCACCACATGATAGAGTAATTCATCAACTGTCTGCCTGAATCTGATAGAGTGAACATTTAGGAACCTGCAACTATATACCAGTTTGTCAGTCCTGCTGTATTTGCTGGTCTGAAAAGTTTTGCCACTTCTAGAAAGAAGTATGCACCAACATTTACTTCTTTAATATTTTCTTCTTTAACATTTAAAATCCATATAGAGTATTCCTTTAGGACTGACACTTTATCAAAGTACAGCTAAGAATCCCTTAGTAGGTATTTTCAAAAGATGCTTATCCATACTACACCCTCCCTTGAAAATCTCTCTGAGAGAGGCCCCATCACATATGTTCTGAGAGCCTCCCCAGTGGTCCCAAGGTATTTTGCTGGTGAAGAATTTCTGTAGGACAATTCCTAAAATTCCTAAAATTTCCTTGATGACAGTCACCAGGGGCACTTATTGAATATATACATCTCCAGGTCACTCCCTTGGTGAATTTTGATTCACTGGGTTTGAGTTGGGCTTGGGAATCTTGTTTTCAGTAATTATTCTGTTGTCATGTGGAATATGTTAGAGTCCACAAACTGATAAAATAAACTCAGAGTTGCCTGATGCTTAGTGATCCTAATATGAGTTCATTTTTCTTGCATGAATTCTCTTTCAAAGTTCTATGATAATTTTAAATAATATCTTCCTCCTCATTTTAAAAACAAAATTCAAAAGTACTACATAGGAGCATGCCTCCTAAGGATGAGTGTACAAAAGACAGTGATTCTTGCAAAATAAAATAAGCCATTAATGGAGTGGATTTGAAATCTGGAACTTAAAAGTCTGATAACTCTAGACAAGCTGGTAAATATGTAAGGAGCTCTGTTCTTTGCCCAATGTCTCTGGACCATGGACTCAGGAAGGTGTGCTGTCTTTAGGGAGCTCTGGCCTTGAGAAGTTGGTCTCCTTTCCCCAAGGCACAGGGCCTGGGCTAAGCTAAGAGCTTAGGGTTACCACACAGCAAAATACTCTGAGCCCCTGCTCCTGCAATTTCCAGCTAGTTTAGAATTGTAGCCTTGATCCTGCTGGCAGGTTACACATGGCCCTGGACTGCCCGGGCACTGTGGCAGCTGGAGGCACTGGCCTGCCCCCTGCTCCTGATTATTGGTACCTGGATTACCTGGTTTTTCTGTCCTGGGGATTTAGAGCAGTGCTGAGATAGGAGAGACTTAGGGTTGAACACATAGGAAAGGAATATGTCCAAATGATTCTGGGACCACCTCTTCCATATTTGAAAAAATAATAATTATGTCAGATAGATGAAAAAAATAAATGTTTCCTTTCTATTAGTTTTAGCTGTGGGAGACTGTTCTGCATGGCATGGGCCCAGCTCTCACTCGGAGATGCACAGGACCCACGCCCACAGTAGGTTTTTCCATGGGGAACCAGGCCTGCAATGTGCCTAGGCTGCTTTGAGTCTTGCTCTTGCTAAAAAACTCCCTCACCCTGAATTGAGGACATTTACTACAAAGTAACTTCCTAAAATCCGTGCTAAACCTTCCAAGGATGAGTGTAACCGGTTCAATCACTTTTGCCTTTTCATTTGCAAATATCCTCTTCTGTGATATGATTAGCAGCATTGGCTCCTTGGTTTTCTGTAAAAGGTAACCACCTAAAGCAAACCTATGCATAGTAAATGAGGACCATCATGTAATGTGCTGAAAAACCCAATAAAGGCTGGTCACAACAAGGGCAAAGGCTTTTGGTCCCCTTGAGAGAAAAGCCATGCTGCCCCTTTTCCTCCACCAGACTCAGTAGTCTGTGTGAATGTCTCATTTCATCCATAATGATGTGGACACTGCAGGCTGGTGTCTGCATCATTAGCAAATAGTTTTTTGACTGCTGAATTACATATATCTCAAGAGCTCTTCTGTCCAAGTAAAAATTGAACTTTTCTAAGAATCATACTGTATAATCAGTATAATCATACTGATTACAGTGTTTATTTTGTCTTTGATTAGTGTCTCTGAGGCTGTATACAAGGGCAGTTTCAGTTGGTGATTCTCTTTCATCTCAAAGGCCACATGTTACTTTCCCTCAAAATATATCATTCTTTTGTATTGTTCCATGTTAATGAAATCCATTAAATAAAAGACTTTAAAGTGTTAGAAAAAGCCTTATTCCCGCTTTACAGCTATTTTAGTGATGTAAATGTAACTAACCTTCAGATTGTTCTTCCTTTCATTTACTCAGTGTAGGTATAGTGGATTTTTTCTACATGGAATGCCCTCTGATGGGTATGAAGTTTTTAGTTACCTGCCCTTATGGAATGTAAAGTCTATTGGGTTGGGGAAGGTACATAATAAATCAATATATTATTGAAAATTGCTGTGCTATATAAGACAAAGTACTGCTATAAAAATAATATTAAGGGAAACTTTTATTTAGATTGCAAGGTCAGGAAAGGCATCTCTAAGCATCCATACATCCATTCCCCCTCCATCCATCCTTCCTTCCAACAGATATTGCTCAGATGCCTCTCTAACACAGTGACATTTAAGCTGATTTCTGAAGGTTGAGTGAACAATATCTGGGGAAGTAAGTAGGAGATCAGCTGGAGAGGAAGAAACAACTCTGAGCTAGAAAAGAGCTTTACATACAGAAAGAATGAAAACAGGCCAATATGCTGAGGCTCACTGAGCAAGGGAGAGGATCTTGGTGAGAGATGATAGTGGGGAGGGAGGCAGGGACCAGGTCTTGTTTGTGATCTTACTCTAAGAGCTCAATAAGAAATGATGACTCTTCAGTCACTTCCCCATAACTGGTGTAGGGGAGAGACAGGAAAAGAGGAAGAAGGGTAGTTTTGGAAAGAAAATATTAAAAGGGTGCTAAGTGCATCCTCTCCTTGCTGATTCTGACACATACACTGAAGCAATATGTGACTCCCTGCTCTAGAACAGTGTTTTTCAAACTTGAAAAATGCACCAATAGCTTTTGAAGGAAAACAAAAATGTATCCAAATGTCTCTCCCATGGTTATTTAAATGATTTTGATTTAATTTGAATACACAGTGGTTGTTTTGTATAGTTAAATATGTAAACCATAAAAGAAGGTATACCTCCCTATGCTTATAGTTTATTTACAACATAAACTCAACATAAATTGAAAACATGGAATACTGAAATTAACAACCCAAATTTAATGTGACAGATGATGTTTGGATAAAATGAAATATCTGCTTGTAT